CGGAATACATAAATATGTGCAAAAAAACAATGTATTTATTCAAAAATATAATATATTTGAGTGTATTTGTACAAAATATAATGTATTTGTAACGTTGTATATGACTAAAATAGCAAAGAAGAGAAGAAAATTTGCGAGGGATGGCTTTTTTCAGCCAAGTAAATGTTGTATATATTGTATTGAAACTAAAAATGGAGACGAACAAAAGTCCGGCCCCTAAATCTTCTCCAACGTAGCCATGGCCATATCTGTTCGCCTAAGAGGATGAGCCAATAGTAGATGATGATGTTGGCGATTCTGACACTGACGATCAAAATTGAGTGCTTTCGTGGGTATACCGTGTGTAACCCTTTTCGGAGTTGTTGAATCAACCATTGAATATGAAATTTGAAGTTTATTCCTCGAAACCTAACAATGGTGAAACTAAAAAAAAAGAGTGAAGAGAAAAGGAAGAATGATAGAGTAATTTAGCGTGAACCGTCTAAAAACTTTATCAATTACCACGAACTTTTGGAGCAAAAAATGTTGAGGATCAATTCTGAGAAATTTATTCCTATAATCTTGTCGTGAGAGAGAGAGAGATCGTGGAGAGAGAAAGAAGAAAAATCTTGCTGTGATTTAAGAGAGAACGTGTGTTAACTGAAAGAAAGGGAGGGAAAAAAATATAAATAGCATATTTCACGCTTATATGGAAGTGTACACAATAAATATATATTTTATTATCAAATATTAAAGGTAGCTATAGATAATAATATTTTAAAATAATTTTGATTTATAATAAATAAGATGTAATAGTTTGTTATATGAGGTAAAATTTCCTTAAAAAAAGGGTGCCTTGTATATACATTAAATAACTGCTTATTATCTTAACCTGTTATGATAATGTGGTACTCGAGAAATTTATATTTGTGACAACTAATTTTTTTCCTCTTCTTTATTTGATCCGATTAAATTTTGGTATGAAGTCAAGATACTTGGATACAAAACTAACTTGGTCATTTAATGGTTCGAAGAAATATAGTAAGCAGTTTATACAAATGAAAAGAAGAACTAATAGTGTATGGGTTAAAACCAACCTTTAGAATATTTAATCCAAAATAGTATAGGTGAAACGGTCCCAAGCCATCGTTTGCCCAAATAATCTAAGAAGCGGCAAAATCTGTGGTCGAAGAGTCAACAAGGGATGAAGCCGAGGAGTCATAATGGGTCGAGGTCGAGGTCGAGTACCTTTGACAGAAGTTATAACGGCTAGTTTTACGATAGAACATTAAAGAGAATATTTTAGTGGATATTTTTCTGTACTTGTACTATTAGGATTTTTAGGAACATGTTCCCTATAAATAGAAAGAAACACAATGATAAGGGACATGTGATATTCATTTGTAAAAGGCAGAATAGCCTCTTAGATACTTGTACTTGTGTCACTTTGTCATCCTGGTCCCTATAATCTACAAAGTTTCATCCAGACACTTTAACTTGATCAAAACTTATATTTTAAACCCCTTTGATCGTTGACCAAGCACATGTGGCAACAAAATGGTTGAGCTGGATAATACGAGTGTAGTTCACGTGGACAACGAGCGTGAATATGATATTTTGAATAAAAAAGAATTAAAATAAGAAGAAAAAAAATCATTAAAATAAAAATGAAAAATAAATTAAAAAGATAAACATAAAATAAGTCAAAAAGAAAAAAACCCGTACGCTTCTTCTTCAACAAACCCCGCAACCCTCATTTTTTTCTCCATGTACGCTTCTTCTTTCCCACCCCACCCCCCTAAAGCACCCCTGCCTCTTCCCTTTTCGTTTTCTTTTCCTTCTATACTGCTGCTTCTTCTTCTTCCCCACTCTTCCCCTCCCCATCCCCCTTCAAACAAAGAAAAATAACTCGATCCCTGAAGTTCCCTTAACCATCTCTGTTTACCTAGAACAAGTCAAAGATATACGAAAAAGGGGCAACGAGTATCAATATACTAAAGAGGCAGCGAGTATTAATTTTTGAGCTGGACGAAAAATGGTCCACCGAACTTCTTCTCCCACTTTTCGATCTAGAAAAAAAAATAATTTTACCTCAATTTTTTTTCTTTATTCATTTTAATTTTATTTCTATAATATAAAAAGGGAAGAATTGGAAGGGGAGGGGAGGCAGAACAAGAGAGAATGAGATGGGCAGGAGGAAGAACACGGGGGGAGAGAGAGTAATCAACGAGGGAGGGGGTTAGGGGATTAATGTTTGAATTTTATTTTTATTTTTATTTTTTGATTTTTGATGTTAATTATTTTTAATCTACCATGTGACATAGCATCTACACATTGTTATTTTTTGACGTGGCAGCTAAAGTGGAAGAGATTGTATTACACGCACTGCAGCATCTTGTCATACGCGTTTATTATACACGATTTGAAGGAGTGTAAGTGTGCAATTGGCAAATTATTAAGTTTGGGGACCAGCATGACAAAGTGACACAAGTATAGGTGTCATTTAGGCTATTCTGCCTATGTAAAATACACTTTGACTTTAGAGATAGAATGGAATCTTATTGCAAGCATACAAACATCACCTTTTCACTAAGATTCTTGTCTACACTTTTCCATTGGATCTGAGAATAACTTGGATATTCAAAAGATTATCTCTCATTCATCATTGTTAGAAAGAACATTCACTCGTTTCATCTTTTCGTGACTCATTTATTCTATTTACTTGAATGTCATTTATTGTTGTTTATCAATATTTAATGCTACATTATTTCTTTTGACTTCTTAAATTTTGTTATGTGTTATCGCTGCCATTAAAATATTCCTACGTAGTATTATTGCACTTCTGAGAACTTTATCTTTGTGATTTTATTGTTAACTAAGATAAACCCTCATTTATTATTCACTCACAAAACGGTACAGTTGAATTTATACGTGGTTTCTAGACAAGTAAGTTAATTCGATCATGAAATAATAAAATAATTGAAGAAATACACAATATGTAGCCTTGAAATGAAGACAAAATAGCAAAAATAGTTATTTCGGGAGCAGGGCTTCCGGGAATAACAACAATGAAATCAAGGAGTAAGAAGATAAAATTGTATAAAGCTTTGAATCGATTATAGCTAAGTTTGCCAGAAAATTCATTCATTTACAATGATAACATAGCTCACTATTTATAGTTGCACATATGGAACAAAGTCCTAGGATCATGCCCTTCTTTAATGTCAATTATGAGGCCATTGAAGAAGGTATAACGGTGAGCATAAATGCCAAATTCTCTGTAACGGGCAGTGCACTAAATGTATTGGAATATTTTCCATTAAATACTATCGGACGCAGGATATTTATTGCATCTTTACAAGTGTCATTCCTTTCGGAGAAAAACGGGACAATTGCCTTAACATAGCATATTTTACTCCGTACATTTATATAAATTTAATTAGTTAAACCAAGATATAAACGAACCACACATGGGGTGTATCGAAAGCTTCGTCTCTTCAGCGCACCAAAAGCCCTTTTTTCATTAGCCGACATCATCTTTTCCACCATAGTGCCTTCCGGCAAAGTCCTATCGGCAACTTATATACATGCATCACAAGGAGGTTCACGAGCCCACATGAGCAACAACAACAAACCGCCACACATTTCACCAGCAACCACTGCGCACCACGCCGTCTTTCGAACCTCCGTCGTGATGACGAATCTTGGCTCGATAAAAGTGATTGTCGCCGCCGTTCCACTGAATCTCCTCCTAATTCTCGAGACATCTTAGAGGAAATCGATTGCAAATGCCGACCACTGCAACTCGCTCTCGTTTCTCCTCAAATATTCATAGCTAAATCCAAAAATATTTGAAGATTTGTAGCTCTCTTGGTTGATATATTAGATGTATTAGCTTTGGTATTTTTGTAGAAGGCTCAATAACCATGGTGTCGACCGCTAAGCTCAAATCTGTTAACTTTCACATGTTTTTTTCATCCATTTTCGTTATTCCTTTATTTTTATAGCCGACATGCTTTGGATTTTTCCAGTTCCTGTTCATTTTACATGTGCTAATCAAAGTCGTTTTTAAGCCTTTTATCTTGGTCTCTTTATATGGAAATTATTCAAATTTCACTGAACACGTGTTTGGGATTTTTCCGGCAATCTCCATTAAATCCGGCAATGAAAACTAAGACAATAAGGTGGATGATGGTGGACTAGTAGAGATGGGGAGAGAGAGGGAGGGGAAGGTGATGGTGTGTGAAAGAGTAGGAGAAAAAAAGAAAGACAAAAGAATTTTATAAAGAAAAGTTGACCTCTCACGCTCTGAAAAATTGGTGTAATTTACGCACTATGCCACGTCATAAAATTGTGTCTAAACACATATTTTAAATGTAGTTGGAGTATTTAAATGGAATTGATTCAAAATAAAGTGTTTAAGTGAAAAATATGAGCAAATTTAAGAGATTGTCGACGTATTTTGTCTTAATTAAACTAGGTTCAATGTATGGACGGGTCTTTAAACTTGGAAGGAGTGGTATTATTTTCTTCAACTATCACTAATATAAAATATAATGAAATTTAGAATAAAAAACATTATGTTTATGTACTATAAAAATTAGACAAAAGAGAAGTACGGAAACGGGGTGGATGTGGTACTTTGGTCCTTTAACTTCAAGGCGACATTTATTTGACTGTCAACTGTCCCCAGCCTTGTCTCCCAAAAATTCCAAACCCCTCTCCTTCGGTAAGGCATTACGTCATAGTTTACCGTGTGAACGCTTACTCCTCTGCCATGTCATCAAGTATTACCGGGAACCCGACCCGTATGACCGCCACCTCATCTCCAAACCCACCAGAAACCAATATGTCAACTTCATCATCTAAATTCCCACGTGCCCACAAAACTAAACTAAGATAAAACCCGTGTACCAGATGTGTATTACTATAACTCTGCTTATCCACGTTGATCTTTTTCTAATTCCCTCGTATATAAAGCAAAGAAGTTCAAAACCAGAAAACAATCTGAAACCCAAAGACTAAACTTTCAACCTTTTCAAATTTCAAACATGCATTGGTCAACCAAGAGAGCTAAACAAGAGGAAATTGTTTCAGTCAACCATCTAATTTCAAAGCCAAAGTTCACAGATGAACAAGAGTTTTCTATTATGGTTGCTGCTTTGAAAAATGTCATAACAGGTGATACAACACAAGAATTTCAATATATAATTTCATCTTCTTCACCTTCTACGAGCATGTCTAGTTTGGAGCCTCCTCTGTTTCGGGTTCCAACAGAACCAGAGCCATGTCAATTCTGCAAAATAAAAGGGTGTTTAGGTTGCAACTATTTTGGAGCCCCAGTTGCTGCTGCTGATAATAATAACAAGGCCAAGATTGTTGTCAAGAAAAAACAGAAGAAGAATTACAGAGGGGTGAGACAGAGACCGTGGGGAAAATGGGCTGCAGAAATTAGAGATCCAAGAAGGGCAGCTAGAGTATGGCTTGGAACTTTTAATACAGCAGAAGATGCAGCTCGAGCTTATGATAAAGCTGCTATTGAATTTAGAGGTCCTAGAGCTAAGCTTAATTTCTCATTTGCTGATTATACATCAATTCAACAGCAGAATGCAACTACTAGTACTGCATTTTCTATATCCCAGCAACAACAAGAGCCTGTACAGTTAGAGCAGGGAATTAAAACAGATTTTGGTATTGGAAAAGAAGAAGAATTCTGGGATCAATTAATGGCATCGGACAATGAGATTCAAGATTGCTTGAGGATGATGGATTTCAATGGCGACTCTTCTGATTCTGTCGGAGGGAATATTGCTCATAGCTTCTGATAAGGAAAAGAGAAAGACCAACAGAATTTGCCCATGGACTAATTAAGGTTTTGCGTGACCATTCACTTTTATCAAATTTGTGCTATTTAATATTTCTATTTTTAGATGTACTTCATTTTTCTTTTTTTGTTACTGTATCGAGAGGCTGAGTTCAATTGAACCCGTAATTTTTAATGCAGATTGCGAAATATAAATTTATATGTAAAAATTTATTAAAATTGTAATAACTAGTTGATATGAATCCATAATTTTAAAAATAAAATTGGTTCATAATAAGAACCTTAAAAGTTAAACCTATAGAGTTTAAATTCTAGATCTGACTCTAACTGTATCAATCTTAAATACTTATAGGGGCGGATCCAACCTTTTGGTATCGGATTTAACTGAACCCAGTACTTTCAGTGCGGAGTATAAATTTATGTGTAAAAAATTACTAAAATTATGACATGTAATAAATATCAACTCATAACTTTAAAAATATAATTGGTTTGAACCTATAGAATTTTAATTCTGTATCCGCCTCTGAATACTTAGGGACATTACTCCAATCAATTTAGATTTTGTACGAGAATTAATACATTTCGGGCCTAAGAAACTGATGACAGAGAAATCATCTGGCGATTTTAATGGTTGCATATAGGAGTGGCAAACGGGCGGGTCGAATATGGTTCGGGTCGAAAATGAGTAATAAAAACGAATAAATTATCCGATCCGACCCATATTTAATACGAATAAAAAAACGGATTAACCGACGGATAATATGGGTAATCATATTATCTATGACTTCTTGCATATGATCACTTTTAAGAGAATTCTTAGTTTCTCTAACTTGAGGAACCCCAAATTTGAGACTTTACAAATATAAAAGTTAGGCTCATTGGTTATCCATTTTCTAAATGGATAATATGGTTCTTATCCATATTTGATCCATTTTTAAAAAGTTCATTATCCAATTCATTTTTAATGAATAATATGGATGGTTAACTGTTTTCATTTAACCATTTTGCCCCTCTTAGCCGCATCTATACCTACGAACTTCACCACCTCTAATTTGAGTCTTGTGGGGTGCACTTAAGCATGTCACAAACAAAACATAAACAGATTTTTTTGTAATTTCATGGCAAGGCTTATGGGTCAAATTTGGTTACTTGATAGCTCAAATTGACACAAGGTGACCCATAAAAAAAATATAATTTTTAACCCGACTCCTCCAATCTCGATTAAGTGGAGTACATTTTTTCTATGGCTGAAATTTATTGCAGGTCGAGCAGCGGTGGAGTAAAAAATTCAGATAAGGAGAATATCCAAAAATCACTGAGATTTAAACATGTATTTTCTCTTATGTTAATGATATTTTAATTTCTACATATGAGTCAAAGATTATTTTTATCTTATATTTATGCAGTATAATTTTTTGGCGAATAAAATTCAATTTGAATCTCTTTGGTTGCATGTGGCTCTGCTATTGAGGTCAAACAATAGCTATCAAACAGACCCATATGAACAAACTAGCACGTGGACCCTAGTCAACTCTAAGTCTTAGTTATTGGATATTAATACATGTCTTGACATTAGGGGTGTGGTTAGATGATTGAGATCCCTTCACCCTTTAAATATAAGTTTCAGATTTAAATCCTAAAAATAAAAACTTCTTGATATATATAGGGAGCGATTTACTCCCTTAATGCATTACTCAATATGAATTTAAATTAGGCGAGTGAGTGAGCTTCAAATATTAGATGGTTACACAGCTCCCTCTCCAACAGAAGAGCATCTGATAATGCTATCATAGTCCAAGAATACTTCACCCACTCACCTGACATGATCCTAAATATTGACTTGGAGAAGGTTTTTGACAGAATAGAGTGGTCCTTCGTCAAGGAGACCCTCCATGTCTTCAATTATCCCATTGCCACCATTAACCTCATCATGTTTTGTGTTAGTTCATCCTCTATCTCTGTCCTAGTAAATGGGGATCAGACTAAACCCTTCAACCCCACCAGAGGCATTAGACAGAGTGACCCTCTATCACCTTACCTCTTCATTCTGTGTATGGAAATACTCTCTAGGGCTATTGAGAGGAATGTCCAACAAAAGGAGCGGTCCCCTATTAGCATAAGCAAATCTGGTCCTAAGTTATCCCACTTGTTCTTTGCTGACGAACTAATAATCAGAGACACTGCACCACAATCATCAATACTCTCAATTCCTTTAATCAGGCTTCAGGCCAAAAGATCAACCTTAGCAAATCCAGAGTCTTTTTTAGTGCTAACTGCCAACCCCACCAAATGGAGTCCAACTCTAACAGCCTTCATTCAGGCAACAGCCAACTCTGGCAAATACCTAGGGTTCCCTATTTTTCACAAGGGGCCCACCAACAATGATTTTCAATTCATCATAGACAACCTTCACACCAAAATGGTTGGGTGAAAAAAAAAATGCTAAACATGACTGGGAGGACTACCCTAGCAAAAGCTTCACTTAACATTATCCCTAACCATGTCATACAGTGCATCAAACTCCCCTCCAAGTCATCCAAGGAGATTGATAGAATCCAAAAGTACTTCATCCGGGGTACCACCCCTATCGAGAAAAAGATGCATCTTGTCTCTTGTGATACAATCACAAAGCCTAAGGCCTAGGGAGGCCTAGGAATCCAAAAAACAGATCTAAAGAACAAAGCCATTCATTCAGGACTGGCATGGAGGCTCTACCAGAACTCATCTTTCCTCTGGGCAAAAACTCTCATTGCGAAACACTGTAACTGGAGGCATCCTCCAAAAAATCTAAATCAAGTATTTGATAGTGCATCCTCAAAGGGTGGAAAACATGCATTCAGGCCAAAAGATGGGTTCTCCACTCAGGGAACAGAATCAGCTTCATAAATGACCCTTAGATCCCAAATCACCCCTCGATTAGAGCCATGATTGAAGGTCCTCTTAAACAAGAGGACCTGTCCACAACAGTAGCATAAGTTCATAACAATGGGACTTGGGACTTTTCTTCCATCTCTCTAAACATCCCCCCAGTATTAGAAACATCCTCCTAAACACATTCATACCATCCAACCCTATAAAGGAGGACAGAATGATCTAGGAATCACCACCAATGGCATCTTTACCTCAAAGTCAGCCTACTCCCTTCTAGCCAATCTTGCCCAACCAGAATGCACAAACACAAGTAACAACTACTTGTGGATCTGGAAACTAAGAGTATCAAACAAGATCAAATCATTCTTTTGGCTCCTCTTTCATGAAAGATTCGCTACTAGAGATTTCCTCCATCGCATTGGGATTCATCTGGATCCAATGTGCTATTTTTGCAATCATGTAATTAAGACATCTGCCCACATCTTCTTTGAATGCCCCAACATAAAAATATTTTGAGAAAATCTAGCCATGAAAAGTACCAGTAGAACTCAAATCCAGAACATCTCCTTCACTAGCTGGGATTGGCCCATCATATGGGCCTCTCAAAAAAGGAAACCCTTCAATAATGTCATCAATTGGGAAGACCTCATTTTTTTTTTGCTTCTTGCAGATCTGGCTCACCAGGAATAATAATTTGTTCAATAATAAAAAGGACATGGTCAATTATAAATCTGCTTTGGAAAAAGCAATTGAGTATATCACCATCTCGGTGGACAGAACACCCACAAAAGAGAAAACTAACTGGGTCAAATGGACACCCCCTCTAAATAATACCTATAAACTTAACACTGATGGGGATGCAGTTGGGAACCCGGAAAAGGGAGGACTTGGTGGAGTCTTCAGAGATGCAAGCGAAAACTAGGTGCTGGGCTTCATGGGAAGCATGCAACACACTACCAACACACATGCAAAGCTCATGACAGTGCTGAGAGGATTGCAAATTGCTGAAGAAAGGCAGTTAATGCCTCTAGAAATCAACACCGACTCCACGGAGGTAATAAGAATGCTTAACAATGGAAATCCTGTTTTTGACTCACTTATCTTTGAATGCAGGTCAATCATCCAAAGACTAGGAGACGTAGTAGTGAAACACAGCTACAGGGAGACGAACAAAGTTGCTGACATGCTAGCAAAGAAGGGTGCCAAGAAGGAATTTTTTGATAATCTTTTTGTAGCAGCAGTTCCCCCGGTGTTTGCTACTCATATTTTTTAGGCAGATATCACAGGAACTGTTTTCTCAAGATAAGTTCTGGACTGTAATAGTGCTACTTATGCTCATAGCGAGGGGAACTAGTATACCCCCGGTAAACAATGCTATTGTGTTATACCCTAACGTCTAGTATTTTAATTAATGTTTGAAATGCACCTTTTTACCAAAAATGGATGGTTACACAAAAAAAGGTGCCTTGTTAATATACACAAATAACTACTCATGTTGTTTACCGATTACGATCATGTGGTACCCGAGAGATTTTTATTTGTGACGACTAATGTCTTTCTTTTCTTCTTTATTTGATCCAATTAGACGATTAAATTTTGAGACAAATCTAACTTAGTCAGTTAATTCTTGAAAGAAATATATTTAGCAGTTTATTTATACAATTGAAAAAAAGAACTAATAAAATTTGAACTTTGATGTATGTTTCTTCTATTAATTAAACTAGGTATATAATATATATCTGGGTCCTTAAACTTGGTAGTGTTATTTTTTTCAACTATCAGTAATACTTACTCCATTTTAATTTATGTGAACCTGTTTCACTGAGCACGGAGTTAAAAAAATAATTTTTTTTTTGAAATTTGTGTTCCTAAACAAATTAGAAAAAGGTCTAGAGTATTTGTGTGGTTATAAAAACTTCTCATTAATGGTAGAATTGAAAGTTTAATCTAAACTGTTTCCAAATTTAGAAAATGGTCATTCTTTTTGGAACAAACCAAAAAGGAAATAGGTTTCACATAAACTGGAATGAAGGGAGTATAAAATATAATAAAATTTAATATTTTAGACATTATATTTGTTTGAGCAAAAAATATAAACTTTTGGTTAAACTATTTAATTTTATTAATGGAGGGTTAAACTTAGCTAACGATAATAATTCTAGATTTAGAACTTGTCGGCAAGGATAATGTAGGATAAAGTCGGTGGAAGACTAAGGGTAATGCACATTTAATATTCCAAAAGATGTGAGTAATAATGGAGGGGTATAA